CCCGTTCTGCTTCTCTGTCTCTCTCTGTCTTTCTGGCGAGCGCACAGGCCCTGTAGCAAAAACCTCTCCAAAAAATAAATAAATAAATAAAAATAAGCCGCTGTGTTGCTGTGTGCGGGCTGCGGCACAGGGCCTAGCCCTCAGGTGACCCCCTAGGTCTGTTAGCACCCCACCTCACATATGACAGAACTGAGACACAGGGCCAGTGTCACCTGCCCACAGTCCCACAGCGTGCACATGGCCAAGCTGGAATGGAACCACGTTTATCTGCACCAGAGCTGACCCCCCTTAGGTCTTGGAGCCAGCCACCTCCTGCTGGGGCCTGACCCTGTGCTGGGTGTCCCTTCCTGCAGAGGTCCTGACGAGGATGGGGAGGAGGAAACTGCCCCGGGGCCACGGCAGGCACACGACAGCCTCTACCGTGTCCACATGCCCAGCCTATACAGCTGCGGTAGCAGCTACGGCAGTGAGACCAGCATCCCGGCCGCGGCCCACACCGTCAGCAACGCCCCGGTCACTGAGTACATGTGAGTCGTGGGGACGGGGCGGGGCCAGCATAGGCAGGGACAGGCAGAGGAAAAGCCCTGGGGCAGGTGTCCGCTTGTCTGAGGAGCCCAGTGAGCAGGTGGGGCGGGAAGACAGCAAGGCCTTGGGCTGCCATGGCAAGGCCAGGCAGCGAGCAGAGGCAGCCCTGCCTCAGGCGGGCTCAGCCTGCCATCAAGGGGCCTGCTGCTCCCCTTGAGCCAGGGCGAGGGGCATCTAGGAAGCCGTGTGGTCAGGTACAGGCTCCATGTCCAAGGTAAAAGAAACTGGCCAGGGCTCCGGGGCCTGACTATATGGTGGGCAGGCAGCCGGGCAGGAAGTGGGCTCTGGGTAGCTGAGGCAGCACCCTGCAGGCCCACCCTGATCCCTGTTACTGTGCTGGGCTCTGGAAATCATGGTCAGAGACAGGGTACCTGGCAGAGCCAGGTGGGGAGGAGTCTGCCCAGCTCTAAGACGGGGCCTACATGAACCACAGCTGGGACCGCTGTGGCCAGTGGTTGCTCACAGCCTTTCTCCCCTCATGCCTCAGGAGCCAGAATGCCAATTTCCAGAATCCCCGCTGTGAGAACACACCCCTCATTGGGCGCGAGTCCCCGCCACCCTCAGTAAGTCTCAGGGCAGGAGGGTGGCTGGGGGGGACCCTGGGCATCAGAGGGGGCCCGCTGCTCTGCTGCCTTGATCTGGTCGGGCTCTATAGGGCAGCGTGGGCTGTGAGGGCAGCTGTGAGCCTCTGGCACCAGGGTCAGGGGGCACTCCAGCCAGAACCTCTTCTGGGCAGCTGGCCCAAGAAGAGGCTGTGAGCTCACTAGCTCTCTCTGCTGGCCTCAAGGCACCCTGGGGCCAGGGTGGGCCACCTCACGGTCAGCTGCCCAGTGGGCCAGCTCTTGGGCTCTTTCTTAGGGAAGGCATGCAGGCACGTGAAGTGCAACTCCCGAACTGACAACTCTTCTAGCACCACTGTACAGGGCCTGATGTGTGCTGTCCCACCTGCCCCTTGAGCCTCACAGACCCATGGTGGGGCTGCCCTGCCTCACTTCCTTTTCTTTTCTTTCTTTCCCTGAGTGTCTACCCAGGTCTTGGCCTGTGGCTAATCCAGCCTGGGCTTGGTGTCCCTGTTGACCTTGGGAGTGAGATACAGACAAGAAGGGACAAGGTTATTTTGGTGCCAAAGAGGACGAGCTTGTGGAGAGGCCAGGGGGCCTGGCGGACTTCCTGGAGGGGACTAGGCCAGAAATACAGGGCCAGAGAGGCCAAAGGCTGCCTTGCTTCAAAAATACCCACCCGCATGGCAGCACCCTTGTCCTCTATGGCACAGAGCTGAGCTTGGGTGCCTGGGCCCTGGACCAGGACCACGGCTGTGAGGTGTGGTGGCTACCCTGGGCTGTGGCCACCGTCACGCTCAACTGCTCCCACCTTCAGCCTCACTCAGCCCATGGCCTGCTCTGGCCGCTCCCGCGCCCTGGTGTTGAGGGTGCCCTCTTTCTCTCTCTCTCCTGCCCCCCTACCCCGGGCCCTCCTAGCGCTATCTGGCTGCCCTGGACTCTGGCAGCCACGCGGGCTGGCAGTTTAAGCCCCTGGACAGTGCCCGAACGCTGTGGTAGCCGTGCCCTCAGAGCGACAGGTACTGACCCACCCGGGCCCCGCCCCGCACGGCCGCCCGCCTGTGCTCCGTGCCTCGCACCCTCTGATCACCGCTGCCCTCCCCAGTGCTGGCCTCGGCCTGTCCATCCTGCTCCAGGAACAGCTCAGCTCAGTAGCCACTGGGCCAGCTCTGGGTGACACGGCGCAGCCACAGAGACCCCTAAGGCCTTGTAGCAGGGGTAGCAAGTCTCCTCCCAAGCTCCTCCTGCTCCCCTAGCCCAGTCACCCCATCTCTGGGGACTCTGCCACGAGCTGCAAGTGGCTCCAGATCCTATTATTACCTTGTACCCAAACCCTTGTGTGTGCCTGGGCTTGAGGGCAGAGGGCGGTGCCAGGCCCCAGTGAGTGGCCAGCAGGCGCATCCCTGCATGTCGGCAAGGACATGCAGGTATATGCAGACATGCGTGCACGCTTCTCCCACCATCCCCACACAACGGCGTACCACCCATCTCCTACCCCTGCTGCATGTCCATGGAATGACACAGCTCCCAGTGCCACTGCTCCTCCTTCCTGCCCCTCCATGGCCTCCCAACAGGCTGCTCGCAACCTTCGAGGAGGGCTCTCAGGGACCCAAGGCCATTGCCTCTCTGCACCTGGGGACTGTGGTCCCTGAGATTGCTGGAGCCACCTGGAGTTGGGGGATCAGCCTGCCAAACCCCTTACCTCTGGTGACCCTTGGCACCTGCCTTGGCCTCTGCCCCCACCTGGGCATGTGAGTCCTTTGCACACTGCCTGACCTTAGCACACACCCTGTCTGTGTGTGTTCCTCTGTGAGCACACACGCAACACAGCACCAACCTGCACTCGCATGTGCACTATGCAAGACATTCCGTTCCATGAGGTGGTCAGATATGCAAGCTATCTGCAGAGCCTCCTGCCGGCTGCCTCTGTCCCTGAGTCCGGGGCCCAGGAGGAGCCCACAGTTTGGGACTCACTCCAGGGGGAAGGGGTTGTGTGGCTTTGGGGGCCCTCCTTCCCTGGAGGTGATAGAGCAGGGTAACTGAGGGGCAGAATGGCCAGAGGAGGCTGGGCCTCCTCCCCTGTGGGCTGTGGCCTGGCCTCAGAACCTTGTCCTCAGGAGCCTCTTCCTGGCCTGAGGGCCTGGCCAGCGCTCTGAGGCAGAGGCCTGGGGGCAGTATGTATGTGGCTTTCGGGTTGGGGTGTGTGGGGGTACAGTCAGGGCCTTCAAGCGCTGGCTCTTGGGAGTGGCTTGCGTGATGCCCAGCTGCCGGTGATGTGGGCGTGGGGACCAAATGCACTCGTCTGATGGGGAGAGGTCCCGAGTGGGAGTTGGGCAGACTTCTGTTCCCTGGGAGCCACCACCTCCCGCAGCCCCTTTCCCACAGGGCCCTGTCAGCTGCGCCACCTGGCTGTCATGTTCTGCCCCCCCCCAAGGGTTGGCCTCTGTCTGCGTGGTCAAGGACCACACCAAGACCGCACTGTTGGCTGTACCGGCCGTGCCCAGGGCCCTGCTAACGGCCCTCCCTCCCCTGTCTTCCTCCAGTACACCTCCAGCATGAGAGCCAAATACCTCGCCACGAGCCAGCCTCGCCCCGACTCCAGCGGCACGCCCCGCCCCGCCTCCAGCGGCAGCGGGCACTAGACACGCTCCGGCCAGCACCTGCCCACGTGCCAACCGCCCCACCCCTCCCCGTGCCAGCACTGCCGCTTAAACCCCGAGGTCGCCCACCGGACCCTCTGCACATCAAGCCAGGCCCCATTTGGGCACTTCTGCAGGCCACCTGCTCCTTCCCGTCCCCTCCTAGCAGGGGACACCGAGATGCCCTGCACAAGGCCCAGGCCTGGCTGAGAAGCAGGGGCTCTGCTCTGGCTGCATCCCCAACTCGGGTCACACATCTGGACAGACACATGGGAATGCTGCCACCAGTCACCTGGATTTGCTGAGTCCTGCTTTGGACCAGGAGCTTCTGTCCCCTCGTGCTCCCTCTGCAGATGGCCTTGGCCGCACGCTGACCCTCCGGACTGGCTGCTGCACCCTGGCTCTCTCCTGACCTGTGCTGTCCCCCAGTCCTCTCCTTCCCTCCACAGTTCTGACACCCACCCTCGATGCTTCTGTGGATACTTCTTGGTTTGCAGGCACGTCAGAAGTCCTCTGTGCCAGAACCCACTGGCCAGTGAGGGTCAGGGATCTGCATCCATCTGCTCATCCCACAGATCCTCCCATGGCCCTTCCACACTCCCATCTCTCTGTAGTGTCCACAGCATGAGCCTTCTGCCCACAGGGCCCACCTGACCATGGCCTGCCCCTCCCCTGGCCGCCAGAAGACTCCTCTGGGAAGGGCCCCTTCCTCAGCCTCGTGCTCATC